TACAACTATCTACTGGGGCTTTGGGGAAAAAAAAGGAGGAGGATTGGCAATAGATGTTAGCTCAGAGCCGGTCTTCCTCAGCAAAAAGAGAAGGATTAGCATGGATGTTAGCTCAGGGCTGATCTTCCTCACTAAAAAAAAAAAAAAAGTATCTTCTTTATCAGGACTTTTGGAAGCAAAAGCCTGCAAGGAGGAAATTTTCTTCTCTCAAGATTTATATACGAGTGAGGTACTTGGAATACAACAGTGAGCAAGAAGTCATGGATTTAGCCCTCACAGGATTTACAGTGGAACATACAGACCGATGAATAGTAGTTATATTGAAGGCTAGTGTGTTAGGTGAGATCATTGGAAAAGTGTGTGGTGCTGTGTACGTAGGATGGTACCTCATTTGTTTTGGAGTGTCAGGGAAGGCTAACAGAAGTTGTTCAGTAGTATGTATAAGAGTAATTCAGAATAACATTTTCACAATGCTTTTTAGTTACAAAGTGTAATTTATTATCTCATCTGATCCTTATAGTAATCTTGTGAAGTGGTAGAACAAGTTATTTTTACTATCTCCAATTAGTAAATAAGGAAACTGGAGTTGAAGAAGATTAAGTAAATGGGTAAGGTCTTCCAGCCAGTAAGTAAGGTAGCCTTACTTTAAGTTTAGGTAAGCCTAAACTTAAATCCAGGTATTCTATTACTTTGTTTACTAGTCTTCCAATAGTAAGAAGTCAATATATATTGGCTATTTTTATTATTATAACAGTGCCGTTTACCACAAATGGAGTTGGGAGAATTTTTAAGAAGCTTTCTCCTCATTCTGAGTGAGGCATCAGCTTTTCGCACGAAGCTGAAAACATCCTCACTGGCTTAGTATTTCTGGTAATATCTTTCACTATAACAGAACACATAAAAGTCACTTATTCACACTTGTCCTGTTGTAAGTTCCTACCCATTAACTTGGGAATCCCCATGACCTGGAAAGTTTGAAATGTGTTACACTTGGAAAGAGAAGTTTATTTCTTTTAAACATCTGGAATTCTTAGGAAGTGCTTCAAAATAGTATAGGCTCATGGAAAAATTTTTGAGAAATTCTTTCCATATGTAACTTTTTGGGTGCATGGCCTGCTTATGGTACTTATTATTAAGCTTAGGACTGAATATAGAAAATCAGATAGGACCTGATTCATTAAAAATAAAACTAACAACTTAGATATGCTTCTGCGTTTTCAGTTATTTTTATGAGTCCCCAGTTTTTACCATTCTAGAATCCTGAAGAAGTTAAAAGCAAATTTATTTTTTTAGTTCTCCATTTGCTGGTATAACTCTGGAATCTAAAATTTCAAGAGAGTTCTGTAGTCTTACTCTCCTGATAACATTGTTTTGGGCATTCTTTAGGAAAGAATTTATATAATTAATTTCATTATAGTTTCCAATTAATTTTTTTTATTTGATAAAAAATCATCATTTAAGAAAATGTAGAAAATACAATGACATAGGAAGAAGAAAAAATTGAAATCACCTGTGGCTGTATCACCTAGATTTAACTACTGTTAAATTTTTGTTTTTTTTAATCTTATTTTTTCTCTGTGAACAGGTGGAGTTTTTCTGTAGTTTTAACTGTACTTTGCCTTTTGCCCTGAATAGTATTATTGTAAGCAGATTATTGTAAATATTTGTTGAGTACTTTTCACCATCACACTGAGGGCTTTCACAGACATAATTTAATTTAATCTCTGCCAGAAAAGTACCATTTCCCTATTTTGAGAAGAGAAAACTGAGGCTAAAGAAGCTGCTACTGGTTCAAGGATACATAGCTAGTAAATAGTAGAATCAAGATTCAAACTCAGGTCATCCAGTTACATGTCCACGTGCTTCTACTACTATATTATATCTGTTGAATTTGTGCTATGATTTATGCCTATTAAAAATTGTCTTAAGATATTTTTTGTGATTCTTACCTAAGTTGAAAATTATTATTGCAGATATAAGCCTTCCAAAGTCAGCAGCAATCTGTTATACAGCAGCACTATTGAAGACAAGAACTGTTTCAGATAAGTAAGTAGTTATGAAAACTACAATAATTTGGAAAGACTGCTAAACTCAGTATTATGTTTTTCATCCTCTGCCTTTAAACAATACTCTTTTGCCCGCCTACTTCCTTCTGAATGACTCTTGATCTTATAGGGCTTTGAGACTTCTTTTGTGTAGTAGAAAGAGCAAGGTTTTGATAGCTAAGTAAACGTGGGTTCAAATTCAAAGTCAGCCACATACCAGCCATAGTACTTTGGGCAAGTTAATCAGTTTGAGTCTCTTCCTTTCTGTAAAATGAGGATAATAATACTGTAGGATGGTTGTGTGAGGATTGTGTGTGTTAAATGCCTAAAGCAGTGTTAGAACAAAGAAAGTATGTATAGTACATAATAGCTATGATAATGATAAGCTGAGTGGTAGGGAAATGGGTTTCATGTTGTCTGTTCTGAGATAAAAATTCTGAGTTATTCTGTTTTCCTTGTATTTTAGGCTGCCCTTAGTGAATTTCTCTTTATTCCACAGATAAGATATTCAGAAACCAACCAAATGGCGACCATTTTCTTTCACCTTACATTACTGTGCCTTGATAAGAATTAAAATGGGATATTCAGCCTGTTTCCTCTCATTGAAAATTCGATGAGAATGTACTTCTATTTCATGCGATTCTCTGTATGTCCCTGTGTAGCATTTCTTATTTTATTACCTTCAATGGACTTCTAAAGGCTTTCTTTACCTAAATTTGAAGATTTCCATTTCTTATGCTGCCTTTCTTTATATGTTGAATCAAAGGCTTTACTTTCATATTTAGGAGTTACTTGGCTTTGGCCTTGGCCATGGCCAGAAACCTCTGATTTAGGGGGCTAGATTATGATCTAAATTCATATATATATATATACATTTTTTTTTAATATTTATTTTTTCATTTTGTGGTTTTCTTACAGATTCTCTCCAGAAACAGCCTCCAGAAGAGGGTTAAGCACAGCAGAAATTAATGCTGTGGAAGCAATTCACAGAGCTGTGGAATTTAATCCTCATGTTCCAAAAGTGAGAAATTTTATGATGGAAATACTACTTATTTAATTTTATCAAATTGATGACAATGTATAGACCAAAGTTTGGGTCTCCATAGTTTGAGTCAAAATTGTTTTAGTCAGCTATATTTTGATGCTTATTATTTGCCTTAAAGGGGATATTAAAGGGCATTTAGAAAGGTGGATAGGAGCAGTAGTTCACTATAGGCCTTGTAATTGCTTTCAAAATAAAATTTGAAGTGTGTTCACTTAGCTGTTCATTTTACTGTAGTTACAGAGAAGAAATACAATGGTTTGGTCCTAATAAAAGATTATTCATATTTCAGATCATTAATAAAACTTCCTGTTACTATAAAAGCTTTTTACATCTAGACAGATGTCTAGATTTTGAACTAGGGCTGGGTAGACAAAGACCGACAAATAGATTAAAATAATGAATGATAGGAAACAGACGTGGAACTTCCCAGAAAAACTGCCGAGTTGATGTATGTTTAGTTTCATATGAAACTGTACCCATCTTGTTTGTCTTTATATTGTACACCTTGCAAACATATAGATTATTGGTTAATCTTTGTGTGTTATCACCCAAGATTAAATTTTGGATTTTAAAAACAATGCCCCATATTAGAAAGTATAGAATATTCAAGAATAGATGCCTTTACTACAAGATGTAATTATAACTGTTGATTCCAGTGTAATGTGTGTTAATGGAATTTGGAAGCTAGTAAACATTAAAGAAAGTGATTTCTAAAAGATAATCTTCAAGAAGTGAAAGTTGTCTGTTAGAGTAAGTAAAGATCGAGTCAAGAAAATTACCAAAATCTAAAAATGACAGTCAACAAATATTTATACCATTCTCTCATTAAGTGACACTGGTCCCATAAATTTAAACAAAATTTTTAGTATGAATTATAATACATATACAGCACAAGGTAAAAAACAAATGTGCATCTTAATGATTTATTATAAAGCAAATGAGTGGAAACTACCTCTGAGGTCAAGAAATAATATTGCTGACCCCCAGAAACCAACCTGACTGCCCTTGCCCAATTACAACTTCTTCCTTCTTGCCTAAAGGTAACCACTATTCTGACATTAATTATGTTCATTTCCTTCTTTTCTTATATTTTTGATCTATACTTTTCCTTTATTGTTGGCTTTAATAAAACAAGTTAAGGAGTGGTCCCTCTTTTTTTATTCTCTGGAATAATTTGTGTAAAATTAGAATTATTTCTGCCTTAAATAATACTTAAATGATAGAATTTGGTGAAAAAGCTATCTGATTCTGGAGATTTCTTTGAGAGAGGATTTTCATTGCAAATTTCATTTCTTTAATTACAAGTTCAATTTCTTTTCTTTCTTTTTTTTTTTTTTTTTTTGCTGAGGAAGATTTGCCCTTGAGCTAACATCTGCTGCCAATCTTCTTCTTTTTCTGTGTGAGCTGCCGCCATATCGTGACCACTGAGAGACCAGTGGTGTAGGTCCAAGCCTGGGAACTGAACCTGGGCCGCCGAAGCAGAATGTGCTGAGCTTAACCACTAGGCCACCAGGGCTGGCCCACAAGTTCAATTTCTTTAACCATTCCATAACTATTCAAATTTCTTGTTTCTTCTTGTGTTAGCTTTTGGTAAGTTGCATTTTTCTGGGAATTTATTTCATCAAAATTTTCAAATTTATTGGGATAAAGATTTCATAAAATCCTTTTATTACCATGTTAATATTTGCTGGGTCAGTTGTAATATCTACTTTTTAATTCCTAACACTGGCTACTTTTGTTTTACCTTGATCAGATTCCCCAGGGATCTATCAATTTTATTAGTCTTTGCAAAGAACCAAGCTCTGGCTTTGTTGATTCTCTCTACTGTTTGTTTTCTGGTTCATTCATTTCTGCGCTTTATGGCCTTCCTTCAACTTTATTTGTCCCTATTATTTTTTATTTCCTGTATCTTCTGACATAGATACTTAACTCATTATTTTTCAGCCTTTCTTCTTTCTAATATATCCATTGAAGTCTATAAATCTAAGCACAATTTTAACTGCATACTATAGCCATACTCATTATATAATTTAGTTCAAAGTATTTTCTAATTTCCATTATGATTTCCTCTTTGATTTAGAGGTACATTTATTATATTTAGAGGTTTATTTCTTAATTTCCATACGTATGAAGATTATCTTTTTATCAGTGATTTCTAGCATAATAACATTGTGGCCAGAGAACATACTCTGTGTGATTTCATTCCTTTGAAACGTTTTTCACTTCTTGAATTTCTGTTTATTTTTCTGTGTTATTTATAGTTTCTAATTCTCTGCCAAAATTTTAAATATAATCTTTTATCTCTTTTAAAATAGTGTAAAATAGTTCTCGTAAAGTCTTTCTCCGATAATCCGAATATCTGGAACTTATGTGTATCTGTTTCCATTATCTGTTTTTTCCTGCTGCATCATATTCATATTGTATTGTTTTCTCTTATCTCTTATTTTCTTTGGCTATATACCAGATATTTTACTTAAAAAATTGTAGAAATAGCTTGAAACCTCAGATAATTTTATCTTCCTTCAGAGAGGGTTTTCTTTGCTCTTAGTTGCCTGGAAGAAACACTAGCAGGACAGGATCACCTTAATTTGGTTTAAGGGATTGATATTTTCTGGTCTACCCAGATGACTTGAAACTGGGCTACAGTCCATCAAAGTTTAGGTTTATTTCTCATTCACCCATATTCCTGGGATGCAGCCTTTCAGGGTCCCAATCCAATCCTGAGGGTTTTACCAGGGCTTTCACTCTTTTTTTTTTTTTTTTAATTTATTTATTTATTTTTCCCCCCAAAGCCCCAGTAGATAGTTGTATGTCATAGCTGCACATCCTTCTAGTTGCTGTATATGGGACGCGGCCTCAGCATGGCTGGAGAAGCGGTGCGTTGGTGCGCACCCGGGATCTGAACCCGGGCCGCCAGCAGCGGAGCGCGCGCACTTAACCGCTAAGCCACGGGGCCGGTCCCAGGGCTTTCACTCTTGATAGGTCTTGGTCTGACTTTTGTTCCTCTAGCCTTATGAAACTGGCAAAAAGGCTAAACAACGTCTTAGCCATCTTGTCCAGGATTGACAAATATCCGTATAGTAAAAGAAGCCCCAAGTGTGGCTTACTTCTCTGATTTCGGCCTTCTTTGGACTATGGACTGATAATTCTTTACTGTTTGTTAATTCTTTGATGTATTTGATTAGATTTTAAAAAATACTTTGTTCAGCTTTTCTAGTTGTCTGGGAGGGTTGAGCTGAATTACCCAGTCTTCCATTACTGGAAGCAGAGGTCTGAAAATACTTTTATATGAAATGTTTTGCTTTCTCATGCTGTGGAGAGGTTAAGAGAAGGATTCTGTAACTAAACTGCCTAGGTTTGAATTCTGGCTTCACTACTTCCTAGCTGTATGACCTTGGACAAGTTACTTCTCTGGACTTGAGTTTCCTCATGTATAAAATGGGGATAATATTCCCTATCTCTTAGAGTTGTTATTAAGATTAAATGAATTCATATCTTTAAAGTGCTGAGAAGAGTGCCTGATACATGGTAAACATTACAGCAGTGATTGTCATTGTTATTATCCAAGATGGGATGGAAATCTGTTCCTTGTGTAAGAAGATAAACAGCAGTTATTAATCAGAACTATTCAAATTAAATATATCATCCAGATATCTAAAAATTTTATTTAATTCCTACTCAAAATAACAAAATATAAACTATTTGCTCCCTATGGTTGTGAACTTCTTTTCTGCTTCAAAAACCATTTCATGCAAAATGTATTTTCAGCGGTAACAATTCTGATGATGTGGATTGTGCATTGGTTTTCAAAACTACTGCTGGAGGCACATAAGTACGGGAGGGTAGTGGAACTCTCAGGCATTGCTCTAATGATAAAATTGAATTGTTGGATAGGTAATATATATTAATCTCCAAATTGGATCTGCTCTAGATGATCTGTGATGCTTTTAAGGATACGTATTTTGAGTTTAAAAACACACACGCACACATATACTGAAATACAGCAAAATAATTCTGAGAGAAAGAAGACTTAAATAAATGGAGATTAATACCATGTTTATGGATTAGAAGACTTAATATTGTTAAGATCACAATTATCCCCAAGTTGATCAATAAATTCAATGCCATTTTTATTAAAATCCTAGTAGGCTTGTTTGTAGAACTTGACAAGCTCATCCTAAAATTTATATGGAAATGCAAAGGACCTAGAATAGGCAAAACAATTTTGAGAAAGAACAAAGTTGGAAGATTTGCACAACCGAATTTCAAGACATTTTTAAAGCTACAGTAATTAAGATAGTATAATATTGGCATAAAGATTGAAATATAGATCAATGGGAGACAATAGAGAATCCTGGAATATAACTCAAAGAATTATGGTCAGTTGATTTTCAACAAGAGTTGCAAGGCAATTCAATGGGGAAAGGATAGTCTTTTCAATAAACGGTGCTGGAACAATCAGGTGTCTATATGCAAAAAAAAAAAAACAAAAAACTAGACCCTTCCCTCACACCATATACAAAAATGAACTCAAAATGGATCATAGATCTAAATGTAAGAGGTAAATTTATAAAACTTCTAGAAAGAAACAGAAGAAAATCTTTGTGACCTTGGGTAAGGCAAAGATTTCTTCAAAAGCACGATCCATAAAAAGAAAATTGATAAATTGGACTTCTTAAAATGTTTGCTCTTCAAACGACACTGTTAAGAAAATGGAAAGATAAGGCAAAGGCTGGGGAAAATATTTGCTAGTCATATATCTGTTAAAGTTCTGTATCGAGAACTTATAAAGAGCTCTTACAACTCAATAATAAGACGACAAACAACTCAATTAAACAGACAAAGGATTTGGATAGTCACTTCACCAAAGAAAATATATGAATAGCTAATAAGCACATGAAAAGATACTCAGCATCATTGGTCATTGCGGAAATACAAATTAAAACCACAATATGATACTACTTTATACCCACTAG